CAATGGTCCTGTGGCATCTGAGGAGACCTTGCCGCCTTGGGGCCCTTCCAACAAGCAGCTGGACAGTGAGCTGGTGCTCGGCAGAGAGAACACCCTGGAGGTGCAACCAGGCATCTCCACAGGCAGAACAGACAGATCCCTGAGGAGAAAATGAGGCCAGGAGGACAGTGAGGAAGAGGGAAGGGGCAGAGGAGATGAGACAGATGAGTCACGGAGGTGAAGGGAAGAAGCCACAGGAAGAGACGCGTGACCATGTAGCCCACATCAAAGAGGGAGGAGGCAGGGGTGGGGGGATGGGGGAGGTGGGGCGGGGGTAGAAGGGTCAAAGTGTTTACAAACTCCAGGCAAGTTCAGAATGCTGGAATCTCCACCACCAGCACACCACCTCTGGATGGTTCCGCCCACCACCTCTGGAGGGTTCCGCCCACTACCCTGGAGGGTTCCGCCCACCACCCCTGGAGGGTTGCAATTCAAAAACCCCATTTGACAGTTGAGGATTCAGGAGAAAGGTTTGAGCAAGGACTGGTGGGTGCTGAGAGGCTGGAAGAGGACAACTGAGGTGCCAAGGGTGAAGACATCTTGTCCGGATTTCTTTCAGGAAACTATCCTTTCTCTTCCTTGGCTGGTATAAACTGAACGCTGACTGACCTAAACATTTAAATTGATCTGAAATTCCACTCAAACCTCCCAGATTTGTTCAAGGATGTTTGTCATACCTACTTACTGGAAGCCAATGAGATCCAGGCTCAAGGGTTTGTTCATTCTTTTTTGTTTTGTTTTGTTTTGTGTTTGTTTTACGAGACAGGGTTTCTCTGTATTGTTTTGGAGGCTGTCCTGGAACTCGGTCTGTAGACCAGGCTGGCCTCGAACTCACAGAGATCCTCCTGCCTCTGCCTCCCGAGTGCTGGGATTAAAGGCGTGCGCCACCACCGCCCAGCTAGAGCTTTGTTTTTTTTTTTTAAATAATCTTACGTGTATTAAGTGTTTTCCTGCATGTAGGGACACTTGCACACTTGTACTAGTGCACACAAATGCCAAAGGAGAGCACCAGGCCCTCTGAACCTGGAGTTTACAAGCAGTTGTGGTGATTTGTGGGTGCCGGGTATCAAACCCAGGTCCTCAGGAGAGCAGCCAGTGCTCTTCACCCCTGAGCTCTCTCTCCAGTCCCTGACTTGCTTGTTTTGAGAAGGATCTAATAATGTAGGCTTGGCTAGTCTAGAACTCAGTATGTAGATCAAACTCCCTCTGCCTCCCAAATGCTGGGATTATTGGAATGCACCTCCATTCCCAGCTCAAACCCAAGACTGTGTTCATGTGCCCACATGTGTGCACACAAGAAAATTGGCTCACATCTGTGTGTGCACGCTGAGGTTGACATCCAGTGTCTCCCTCCATCCCTCTCCACCGTATGCTAGAAGACAGGGTCTCCCACCGAACCTGGATCTCACCAATGAGCTAGACTACCAGGTCAGCAAGTGCCAGGGACCCTCCTGTCTCTGCCTCACCAGGGCTGCGATTAGAGGTGTGTGCTACCGTGCCCATTTTTATTTATTTTTTAATGTGGTCCTGATCTTGGGTCCCACCGCTGAGTTTCAAGCATTTTACCAACTAAACTGTCTCCTGAGTCCCCGGGCTCTAAAGGAAAGGCCTGTTTCTTCTGTGCTGAGTCTGAAGGAAGAAGGTGGTGAAGATTGGATGTGCTTGTTACCATCTCAAAAGCCTAAGGACTAACTCTGCAGGGACCCAGAAGCTGGAAAGTAGGTTCAGGGAGTTACAGAGCTACAGGACACCGTGGCAACCACCTGTATGTACCCCAAGCAGCATGGAAGCAGACATCGACACGCCAGCAAATTCCTTCGCAGCCTTTGTAGTTTGGTTTGGCTTTTCTGTCGTTCAGTAAAAACAAAGTGTATCCATCCCTTTACAAGTCTAATTGAACTTAGTCCAATTAAAGTGCCTCATAGCTCAGCAGCTTACATCGAGCGAGCTCAGGCGGCTGGATCGGGGTACAGCTTGGGGTTGCCCATGCAGTCTTGTTTTTTTTTGTTTGTTTGTTTGTTTTTGTTGTTTTGGTTTGGTTTATTGATGGGGAGGATTGGCATGGTTTACTTTGTACACCAGACTAGCATCATGCTCAAAGATACCCACCAACTTCGGCCTCTCAAGTGCTGAGATTAAAGGTGTGTGGCACCACTACCAGTCCATACATTTTATAATAGAAAGGGATTAACTCCTTACTATAAATGAATATATTGGAATTTATCAAAGTAACTGATGCGAGAGGGCCAGACCTAGACAGGACCTCTTACCAACTTGGGCTTTGGTTATACATTTGTAGGAGCAGCGAGGGGCTCCTGAAGATCTCTGGGGGTGACAGGCTTTCAAGATCTCAGGTTTCTGCTGCTCTGAGCCCAGACCTCGCTAGAAGTGGCTTGTTTTGTTTTGCTGTTTGTTTGGTTTTTCAAGGCAGGGTTTCTCCTTTGTAGCTTTGGAGTCTATCCTGGAACTCACTGAGATCTGCCTGCTTCTGCCTCCCAAGTGCTGGGATTAAAGATGTTCATCACCACACCAGGATAAAAAAATAAAATCTTTTTTTTTTTTTTTTTTGGTTTTTTCGAGACAGGGTTTCTCTGTATTGTTTTGGAGCCTGTCCTGGAACTCGCTCTGTAGACCAGGCTGGCCTCGAACTCCCAGAGATCCACCTGCCTCTGCCTCCCGAGTGCTGGGATTAAAGGTGTGCGCCACCAACGCCCGGCAAAAAAAATAAATAAATAAAATAAAATCTTAAACAACAGGCTGGGCAGTGGTGGTGCACTTGGGAGGCAGAGGCAGGTGATCTCTGTGAGTTCAAGGCCAACCAGTTCTACAAAGAGTTCCAGGACAGCCAGGACTACAAAATAAGATCCTGTCTCAAAAAAAGAAAACCACTTATTTATGTTTGTGTTGGGGTGTTTTTCTGTTTATCCACAGGCCAGAAGAGGGTATCAGGTCCCCTGGAGCTGGAGTTACAAGTATTTGTGGCGTGCCTGATATGGGTGCTAGAACCAAACTCTGGCCTATTATCAAGACCAGCAAGAGTTCTTAATTTCTGAGCTATCTCTCCAGCCTCAGAATTTATATTTTTATGCTTAATTATGTATATGTGTGTTGTGTAGGGGTTTATGCACATGCATGAAAACCTTAGGAAGCCAATAGCCTTGGATCCCACAGAGCTGGTCACATCCACTGGATATGGGTGCTGGGAACCAAACTTGGGTCCCCTGCAAGAACAATACTTACTCCTTATGAGTTTCCTCTCAGTCCCTTGGCAGTGGGTTTTTTATTGTTTTGTTTTCTGAGACAGGGTTTCTCTGAAGCTTTGGAGTCTGTCCTGGAACTTGCTCTGTAGACCAGGGTGGCTTTGAACTCACAGAGATCTGCCTGTCTCTGTCTCCTGAGTGCTGGGATTAAAGGATTAAAGGCGTGTGCCACCACCTCCCACTTGGCAGTTTTAATTATAAATCTGACAGCTGTTATCAACGTGGCTCTCAGCTGTCCCCTTTGGATGAAGGTTTACAGATATCATTAATTCTCTTTCTGCACTAAAGCACTGTGTGCCTCATGTTTAGAACAGTCCCTGGGCAGGAGTCATGGAGCCTGCTGGTACCCACACCCACCCAGACAGTTATCGCTGAAGACACAGCACCTTGTACTTTCTGGCACGTGATACCTGCACCCCAGCCCTCACCTCACCACCCAGAGTTTGCACTACCCTGTCTGCTCTTTGCACTCTCCTCTCTGTGTCCCCCCATGACTGCCAGCCTCTGAACAGCAGAGACTGTCCTGAGTCCCCTGACCAGGACCCATGCCTGGCTTGGCTAGCAGCTTTAGCTAAGTCACGGTACCTATCCTCTCCTTGTCTCTTCCCATCTTCCTCCTCTGCCTGCCAGCATGCAGAAGTGCAGTCCTGCAGCGACGTCAGTCTCTGACCACAGGTGAACTTGAACTTGCCACGGGCCGCACTGATGGGATGTCTATGCTTCACTTTCTACTTTCGTCAAATGGGCACGATGGAGCTGATTTTTCAGTCTAGAATTTGGCTGAAAAAACTTAGTTATTTAAGAATTAATGCCTACAAATATATGTACTATTTGTAAATATTGATGCTACACACTAGAATTGTTAAAACTTAATGGCAAGTGGGTCGTTGTCGCCCTCTTCTGGCCAGACGTGGTGTCTTCATCTTCATTTCTTGGGTTCTACAGAATTCACTTTCCACCCTACCCCAAGCACCTACTCGGCTCCTTCTGGACTTCAGGAATGTGGCCAGGAACCACACTCTGGGCAGTTTGGTCTCAGATCAAGCCACTAGCACTGCTGTCACCCTCTGGCTTCTGGATCTTTTGTCTGATGTGGCGGTTACACAGTTGCCCCACAAAGGACCCAGGCAGCACCTAAGAATCTGATCCACCATCTCTGAGATTGTCTTTAGGACCCAGCTAGGGACAAGAGGCTTTGTGCTCCAAGGTCTCAGGGACTGTTGCAGCACCCAAAGACAGAGATGGTCACCCCCCCAGGTCCAGAACTTAAGCAACCATGTGATCATGGCTGAGGCATTTAGAACCCCTGATAGACAACGGGTATGAGGGGTACCCAAAGGTACTGATGCTCCAAGCAGAACTGTGGGAGTAACCACCAATGCCCTTACCCCGATCCCTATAGGGTCCTCCAGACCCCAGAAGAAGGTGCCACCAGTTTTAGAATACAGGCTTCCTTCTTCCTCCCACTGAACAGAGGCCTACTATCTATAATCCCATCCACAGGTAGGATACACAAGCCCAAGTTGGGGATAACCACATCCCTAAGTGAAAGGACTGGATACAGTTACCTTCTCCCCATACATCCAGTCCTGTAAGGGCCTCATGCTCCATAGGTCTTGACATCAAGACCAGAGCTGTCTGCTCATACCCATCTCTTCCCTGGAGCACCTACAAACTGGCCACACACACATACACACCCTCCAGACTTCGCAGCTGTTTTTATTATTAATATTATCTTCTCCTTTAAGCATCCCTTTAAGGGTGAAATGAAATTCAACCATTTACAGAGAAAATGATTTCAGAATGTACATATTGATTTTCCTTTACAAAAAAAATAATAGTATTATTATTATTATTACTGGTGTCCTTAAATTACACATTTCCCAGGGCCCTACCTTCTGCTTGGATGAGTCCTGTCTTCTCACCCTGAATCTCACCTTTGTCTGCAAAGCTTTATCATGCCTGAGCCCCTGTAACCCCTGTGACCCCAGGTGAACAAGGTCAGCAGGATGCCTGGAATGAACAGGCCTCCTTGGGTCTAGAGGTCACAGGTCAGTGGTTCCTGGAGAATGTGCCCACATTCAAATCCGTTTCCCTTCATATTGGGGTATGGTCCTGGGTCCTGTGCCCCTCAAATCCCAGTGTATGCTATAGTTAGATGTGAAACTTTTTAGCCCTCGCCTTTCACAGGTAATCTCTCTCAGCCCATGACCAGGCCTCTTCCTGTCTGGTTGAAACTGTTACATTATTTCCCCCCTGCTTGTCTGAGAGAGGCCAGTCCAGCAGATCTGTGCTTTCCCAGTGTCCCTGAACTGGTCACCTGTGGGCACGAGCCCTGAAATGCCTGAAATGGGGGTGTCTGAAGCAGCTGAGGTTACCGGGACTGTGGGGTGAGGATGTCATTTGAGACGGCATCACACCGGGGCACCCACAGGCGTCTCAGAAGCGCAGATGGACCCATAAGTCGCTGGGACACCCTGACTTCTGGGGCCACCTCTCAGTCCCAAGAGGAATCAGGGGAGGGCTGTTCTTTGAAAGGGAGATACCACAGGGGGAGGGGTGTCCCCTCAGTGGGAGGAGAGGAGCCATGGAGTCTCTCAGCCTGCTTTCTGCCTGTTCACCAGAGCTGCCCCAACACCATGCCTACCACCTGATAACCTGCTCCAGACAGAGATACCTCGAAGGAAACCTCTCGGGAAGCCTCCAGTAAGATCATCCAGGAGGTGCTGCAGTAAAAAAGAGGCTGAGGGAGTGCTGGGCGCTCACAGCAGCATATCCCTCTAGCTAGCAAGATTCTATTCCTCAGTCTGAAAAAACAGACAGACAGACAGACAGACAGACCCTGTATTCCCTTTAGCCTTGCTTTCAAGGTTCCCCAAGGACTTCCTGCCTCAGGCATCCTAAGGAGCCACAGGAGACAAAACTACAGGCTCCAGGTCCTAGGGAAGGGGACAGCCAAGCCTATACTCCTACACCCACATGTGAGCATCATCTTAGTACATGGACACATGGACATGTGGACACAGACATGTGCAATACACACCAAGCATGCACCCATGCCCATAAATACACACACACACACAAACACGGACCATTCCACAGACAGCCCTGCATTTTGCATCAAGGGAACATCAGGGGCCCCAGGGAGAGGCACTCATTCTTCCGGTACACCGCTAAGTCCTTACTGGACCTCAACCATGGGGCAGGCAGGGAGAGAGCAGGGTCCCATGTTGAGCACTCATTTGTACCCCTCCCACAAAGGTGTTGCTGGTAATACAGAACTTTCAAACTGAGGCAGGCACATAGCAGCCCAGCTCAAAACTACATTTCCCAGTTTTCCTTGCAACTACTTGTAGCCATGCAGCTAAGTCCTGACCAATAAGATGCAATCAGAAGCAACATATCTGACTCCTGCCCTTCATAGGAAAGAGTTCACCCTTCCTCAGTCTTACCATGTGGGCAGGCACAGCCACTCTATCCACACCTGGAAGTTGTATGGGAGGCTAAGTGGACTGTCTTACAGGCTCTGGGATGGTGGTAGAATGGGACCAGATGCCAGCAGAGAGTGATGAGAAGAGAGAGAGAGAGAGAGAGAGAGAGAGAGAGAGAGAGAGAGAGAGAGAGAGAGAGAGAGAGAGAGACGCCTCCTTTCCCTGTCTCACATACTATCCCAGCTGTCCACACAGTCTCCAGCTCCTGTCCACCCTGAGAACTGGACTCTAGAGTCCTTTGCAAGCAGCTGAGCTGGCATCCCATGAGACAGCAATAGGAAAAGTGAAAAAGCCATCAAGGCTGGATTTGGAACCAAGAGGAAGGGTCCTCAGGCTCCCAGCATGTCTGCTTACAGAGGCACGGCTCTGACACTGACAGCCACCGCTCCATCCTCCTGGCCCACGGTGACCACATTCCTTGGGTCCAGCACTTCTGAGGAAGCTCCAAAGTGCTCTCTCTCCTGGGTGCCATTTTCTATTGCTTCCCTAGCTTCTTGGCCAAGATTAAGAGTGATACACTTTTTTTTTGTCCCTCCCTACTAAGCAACTCTTCTTGCTTCTGGATCCAAATGCATTTATTTACAGTATCCTGGGAACCCCTGGTATGGTATACACCCTTTTCCATTGCAGGTCAATAATCCAAGAAGTCAAAGGCCGGCTGCTCTCAACTAGACTGAAATTCCACAGCTCTCACAATCCCAGAAAACTATCTTATGCTCTCCAGGGACACCTCTTGCCCATAGCACTCTTAGGGACAGAATACTGCACAAATGCCTGAGCTTGCTTTTTACTGGAAAAAGTTACTTTTCCTTTTCTGTTTTGGGCTAAAAGGCCTGACCCTTAATTCCAGAAGGTTTGAGCAGAGAGAACCGCCTACAAGGACTCCTGGCTTTCTCAAGAGCCTCCAGGGACTCAAGGAGGCCAAAGATAACACTGGGGTAGCCATTACCCCAGCCTGCCCAGCCCTAGCCCTCCACTGTTTCCAACCGGCCCCTGGCAGGTGACTTTCCCTCGGAGCCCAGGTTCCGGGGACCACCCTCCGCAGTGCTCTTTGGCTCCCGGTAGGGGTTGTCCAACAGGTAGCGGAATTTGTTATAGTTCTTGAGTAGGTATTTGGGAGCATACATGTGCTCACTGGGGTCTGCGGGAGGGTACTCCTGCTGCGTGCCGTCGAACCAGCCCCCAGTACGAATCAGGCTCCGGATGTAATTGAGGTCTCTCTTGTCTTCATAGTCACCCCAGCGTGGGAAGTCGCCATTCTGAGCCGACACAAGCTTGAAGTAGATGCCCTCGGGTGTGAAGCACCAGGAGCAATGCCAGCCCGCAAAGTGCAGGGGGCTGCCGAGGGACCACTGCACTAGGATATGGCCTGTGCGGTTCTCATACTGTCGGAAGTTGGGCATCGTATAGTATTGGCGGCGGCGCAGGCGGATGCCATCCAGTTCATACACGGCCTGCAACATGTCCACAGTGCAGCCCGACACCACCTCCAGTGTGCCTGGTTGCTTCCAGAAGAAGCCGTACAGGGACTTGCGCATGTGGAAGGCAAAGGGCTCTGTCCAGCCGTCATAGAGCTTGAGAAACAGCACACCATCACGCGCAGGGATCTCGTCTGCATCGTCGATGATGAAGACGTCATCAGGCCGCAGGTTGCGCAGGCGGGAGACACCGTCTTGGGTGAGGAAAGTGCGCAAGTAGTCGTCTGCAATCCAGCCATCCTGCCGGCCACCGGGTGGGAAGTGGTCCAGGAAGACGTAGAGCACCTTGTGTCGGATGTACTCGAAGGTGCCATTGGTCAGCATCTCTCGGAACTTGAGTGGCCGTGGCTCCCCGTAGGCGGTGAAGTTCGACTCACACACCACGAAAGCGTCCACCACATCGCCCAGCTCGTGGAAACGCACGTCCAACAGGTCGAACTCGTGGTTGATATTAATGGCATTGATAACCCGCCTCGGCACCTCCCTGGGTACCAGGCGCTCCTTGGTGGGCAAGTTGGAATACTGCACCACGGTGGGCACCCCGCAGCTGGGTCCGTGCCAGCCTGGCAAGCACACACACTCAACCCACTTGCGCCTAGTGCCTCGGCTACCCAGGCGCTCTGGTGTACTCAACACGTGCCGCATGGGCTTCCGTGCAGGGCCCCGGGCCGAGGAGCCCTCAGCCACCTCGGGCTTCTCTTCTCTGCGTCCTGAAGGTTTCTCCAGCATCTTGGTACCTGGTTTGAAGCAAACACCACCGGCTTTGGTGCGCACAAAATACTCGGTGGTGTCTTCAGACAACACGAAGTCCATCCGGTGCAATTCCTCGGTGGCCTTGCTGGGAGACAGTGGCTGGAGCAAGGGGGAGTGGGAATAGAGTGGGGTTCGCAACAGGTCGGGGCCACCCGGCTGCGGACTGGCCTGGGGAGTGACAGGAGCATTGTTCCAGAAGAAGCTGGATACAAGGTTAGGACTGAGGGAGGCCAGTTCTCTGGGAAAGGTGACATAGGATAAGGTCTTAAAGAAGTGTAGGAAGGAGATGAGGCACAGGCCAGCCATACAGAACATGAGAAAGAGCTTGTAGCGTCTCATCTTCATCCTGCAGAAAAGGGAAAGAGCAAGAAGTCAGGGCAGCCTGAGGCTCCTGTCCTAGGACAGGAACTTGAGGGGAGTCCTAGCTGCAGCTACCTGTGAGAGTGTTCTGCCTTGCACGGTCACCCCACCTTCTATCCTCATAAATTCCCTGCTTAATCCCAGCACTCGGGAGGCAGAGGCAGGCGGATCTCTGTGAGTTCGAGGCCAGCCTGGTCTACAGAGAGAGTTCCAGGACAAGACCTAGGTAATAGGCACATACCTTTAATCCCAGCACTCGAAATTCTTTCTAAAATAAATAAATAAATAAATAAATAAATAAACAAATAAATAAAAAAGAGGACCCTAAGCCGGGCGTTGGTGGCGCACGCCTTAATCCCAGCACTGGGGAGGCAGAGGCAGGCGGATCTCTGTGAGTTCGAGGCTGGGCTGGACCGACAGCCTCCAAAACAATACAGAGAAAACCCTGTCTCGTAAAAACAAAAACAAAAAAAAACAGGACCCTAAAAGAGATATACATACAAGAGGAAAAAGACAAGATCTCCTGAGTAAACTGGGAGTATATGGGGCAGGAGGAAGGATGGAAGGGGAGAGAAGAGGCAGGGAGTGGGGAAAAATAAATGTATAGCTCAATAAAAAAAAAAAGATCTTTATTTAGATGTAGGGGGAACCCCTCTATTTTCTCAGAATGCAGCCGTCCTAACCCTGATCTGTTAGGATATCAGGAGGGAAGCCAGTCCTATTGAGAAGGCTTGAGTTCTCTGCTGCTGTCTGTTGCACTTAATTCCCCGCTTTTTAATTCTTTAAAAAAATGTTTTAAGTTTCATTTTAAATTCTAACCTCAGTTTGCTTTTAATTCTTTGTTTGTTTTTTTGGTTTTTCGAGACAGGGTTTCTCTGTATTGTTTTGGAGGTTGTCCTGGAACTTGCTCTGTAGACCAGGCTGGCCTCAAACTCACAGAGATCCGCCTGCCTCTGCCTCCCGAGTGCTGGGATTAAAGGCGTGCGCCACCAACGCCCGGCTGCTTTTAATTCTTTAACTGGCAGAGAAAACAAATTCAACGGAAACTCATAGACTGTATCAATGCCACAAATCTCAAAGGAATATATTTTATTTGGTTTTGAAATAGGGTTTCACACTGTAGCCCAATCTGGTCTTGTTTTTTCTTTTTCCTTTTTTTTTTTTTTAATAGTTTTTCAAGGCATGGTTTCTCTGTATAACAGTCCTGGCTGTCCTGAAACTCACTCTGTAGACGAGGCTGCCCTCGAACTCACTGAGATCCACCTGTCTCCGGATTAAAGAGGTGCACCACCCCTGTCTGGCCCAGCCTTGAATTTGAGGCAATCCTCTTCCTCAGCCTCCTCTAGTACAGGAGTGAGTCACCAGATCCCAGCAATCTTATCGTTTTTAAAGTGTAGTCATGCTGGGTGTGGTAGTGCACACCTTTAAACCCAGTATAGGAAAGTCAAGGCTACTGGACCCTGACTCAAAAAACAAAATAGCCAGGTATGGTGACCCATGCCTTAAACTCCAACACTCAGGAGGCAGCTGATCAACATTGTGAGTTTCAGGACAGGTAAGGCTACATACACAGTGAGACCCTGTCTCAAACAAGCAAGCAAGCAGCCAGGCCTGCACTCAGGAAGCAGAAGTGGACAGATGTCTTTGAGTTCAAGGCCAGCCTGGTCTACAGAGCAGTCCCAGGCCAGTCAGTCTTGACACTGTGTCTCAAAAAGAAAACAAAGCAAAGGATGAAACTTAACACGCAACATCATTCAACAAAACCAAAACTAAACAGACTGGTTTCTAGGCATGAACAATTAGAGTCAATTCCTTTGTTCCTGGTTTGGTATTACTCACAAATCTTACCATGGTAGACACTAAGTACAAACCAGTTGTTTTCTTCAATCAATGATGAATTTAAAAGATTTTCATGTTTATAGAAATAGATCTCCCATTTCCTTTTTAATTCCTCAAACACTCCTAGCCTTCTTGTTTCCTTTGTTTTGCTAAATGAATCACTGTACTCACAAATGATGTGGCACCTAACCACTTGCTATTCATTGATAGCATTCAATTTCTCAATTAGCTTCTGGCTATGGATAGAAATATTTGTCTGTCTCTCTTTCCCACAATTCAAATAAGCCTTTAACTTTAGGATATCTGTATTTTACAGATACATTTCAAAGATAGGACAGATAACTCCTTGCATGCCTCACCCATATATGTGTGTGTATATATACATACATACACATATATTTTTTATTTTGTTTTTTTGCAAGACATGGTTTCAGTGTGTTGCCTTGGCTGTCCTCAAAGGCCAGGCTGGCCTCTAAAACACAGAGATCCACCTGCCTCTGGCCTCCAAGTGCTGGGATCAAAAGTGAGCACCACCACCACATATCTCTCTACTACTATTCTGCAATTTGTGATGGTAGATTTGTTGCAAAGAGGAAACAGACACCAGCATGCCACTTTGAACTGAACTCCACATTTTATTTGGATTTGATGTTGTTATTTTGGTGGGGTTTGGTGCTGAGACTGCAACCCTGGGCCTCCAGCATGTTAAGCATGCGTGCGTCCCACACCCCTAGCAGAAACTATTTCTTCCAGAGCATTAGACTGTGGACAAGCTTAGGGGCTGGGACACAAACCTGGCCTTTGGCATCTTGGGCCTTTCCTTAAAAACATTCCTGTCGGGGCAGAGGATGTAGCTCATTAGTAGTTGCTTGAGCATGCAAGGCCTGTGACCAAACTTCAGTAACTCAGGAAAAGCAAACATTCCTTTCTGCAGCTTGTTCTCATGGTTTGGGTTCTTTGCCCGGTCATCTGCCCCCACTCTACTGTCCTCACACTTCCTGAAGGCAGCAGGGTGGAACAGAAAGGTACGCTCTTGGTCCTTAGCAAGCCCCTCGACATTCTGACCGCCTTCATAACTGGGACCTGGGCACAGCGTTTCTAGTGCACAGTGGGTATGCAGTAAGTTTTCAATTGTTCAAATGCTCCAGGCTGGAAGCTTCTAGCAGGATCTTCTCTTAGCTATGCCCAATCTAGAGTCCAAGAGCCATCTCAGGACCTGGGGTGCTGCAGGGACCTGCTCAGGGTTACATGGTTGGCAGGAGAGTGGAAGCTGGCCTCAGGGACATTCCCCTAGGGGGGTCCCTGAGCAAGCATGCAATAGTCCAGCTGCTAGTCCTGAGAGGCAGGTCAAGGCTTGTACTGGAGACAGAGGTCTGCTTCTGTCTCCAGGTGAAATGCTTGCACCCTCAGGTGCAAAAGTGGGGCCTGACCTCAGCTAAATAGCAGCTATGCCTGAGCAGAATTGGGGTCACCCTCACTGGTTTGGAGAAGCTCATTTCTGCACAGTACATTGCTGTCCCAGTCTGAAGAAGCAAAAGGCTTATGAGATGAGTAGCAATAGTCTGTCCCCTTTTTTTTTTTCCCGAGACAGGGTTTCTCTGTGGCTTTGGAGGCTGTCCTGGAACTCACTCTGTAGACCAGGCTGGCCTCGAACTCCCAGAGATCCGCCTGCCTCTGCCTCCCGAGTGCTGGGATTAAAGGCGTGCGCCACCAACACCTGGCCCAATAGTCTGTCCCTTTTGTTTGTTTTGGGCTCCTTTCTCTGTCACATAGTGAGGTGGCTTGTCTGGGGGAAACCTTTAAACAAGCATGCTTGGGTCTAGAGGAGGGGGAGCCACACCCCCAACTCCAAAGACTACTTTTAATTGACGTGAGACAACACAAAACAGTCCAACGTCACACTTAAAAGACACCTGAATCCCTGTAAATCCAGTAAGCTGAGAACAAAAAAGGTTTAGAGATAGGGAATTTCTGACCCCTGGCTATAGACAGAGGATAGATCCGGGAGGGAGCTGTGCACCAGCCATGGGGGGTGTATGCAGGGTGTGTGCATGCCACAGCTGGGCTTGCCCCCCTTCCTACCAAGACTCACTTCTAGCTCCCACTTTGCAACAAACTTACAGATCCATCAACAGTAACTTAAAGACAGGATCTTTCTTCAGGGACAGACAAAAACAAACAGGGCTTAGAGGGTAGAAAATTTTGGGAAAGCTTGAACAGAGGGAATGGGTAAATCTCTTTCCATTTCCCTATCGCTTGCAGTATTTGTAAAGGTCCCAGATAACATTGGGATCTAGGATGCTGTAGGCAGCTGTTTGGATTGGCTATCAAAAGGATATTGAGGTCAAATTTTACTGCAAAATGAATAAATGTGAGGTCAGGTGCCAGGTGGAGAGGCTGGAGGTTTTCTAAAAGACATCCCAAGGGATAATGAGAGAATATGAAAGACACCATTCCCATGGATGAGGAGGGGGAAGGGAAAATGTCACTATAGCCTGGTGTAGTGCTCTGGTCCTCCCTGAATACTGGGACCCGAACTCCTTCCACAAGTGGTTCTGCGGTGTAGCTCGAATTCTAATTGGTCTTAAAAACCCCAGCCGGGAGGTGGTGGTGCACACCTTTAATCCTAGCACTCGGGAGGCAGTGGCAGGTGGATCTCTGTGAGTTTGAGGCCAGCCTGGTCTACAAAGAGAATTTCAGGACAAGTCAAGACTATTACAGAGAAACCGTCTCAAAGCAAAAAAAAAAAAAAAAAAAAAAAAAAAAAACCCAACCAAACAAAAAACCCGGAGTCAGGTATAGGGGTGAATGCTGACAGATCAGAGAAGCAGAGCAGCCAGCCACCAGTTCTTACTGCTACTGAATCCTCAGACCAAATGGGCGATGCTGTCCCTATGAATCCTCAGACTGAATGTCCTGAGCTCCTGTCTCCTCCCACCTTACACTCCACCCAGCCATATCACTCCTGTCTCCACCTCTATTTTTTTGTTTTGTTAGTTTGTCTGTTTCGTTTTTTGAGACAGGGTTTCTCTGTGGCTTTGGAGGCTGTCCGGGAACTAGCATATCTCCACCTCTAGTGCTGGGAATAAAGGCCTCTGATCCCAAGTGCTGGTATTAAAGGTGAGTTCAGTCTTATGTAGCCCAGCG